GTATAGTCAAGGCACTAATTTATGAATTAACTTATCAAAGTACTAACTACAACCTTTCGATCTGCTCGAGCATAACCAAAGTAAGGAATAACTGCAGTAATATTTTTGGCAGAGGCTCTTCGACAAGCATCAACCATTATTAGGAGCTCCATAAGGTTTTCATTTGCGGGAGGACAAGTAGGTTGCACAAGATATACATCACAACCTCTCACACTTTCTTGTAACTGCACATATATTTCACCATCTGCAAAACGCTTAATCTTGATCTTCCCAAGTTCTAGCCCCATGTAGCAAGCAATTTCCTGTACCATATCCCATTAAACCCTTGATAATTGATATAAATAAATTAAGGAAGTGATGCCTAGAATACAAGTGCCCATAAAACTCTAATAATACGAGGCTTTTTGAGATAGACCCGAAAATAACGTGTGGGATTGGCCTCAAAGCATACCATAACCACATACTAGAACTATATAGCAACCTTTTTACTTACCTGAGAAAGTGCAGGATTGGCAGTCCCTGAGAAAATTCTGATTCTAGTGCCATTCTGATTTTGCAAGACTGGAAGTCTCTGGAACTGCTTAGGAGTTATGAAGCTAGGGAAAGTGGGCTCACTGTTCATCTGTACAGGCACGCATGGTTTCCCATTGCCATTGAACTTCAATGGCTCCGCCACATTACACCTCTTCCATTTCCAGATTCCAAAAGTCACATCAGAATTTGTGCATATACACATCACATGCCCTATAAATAAATATATACCCACACAACACGCTGGTCTTTTTTTAAAATAGGTTAAAATGAAAGGTTATGAAAGATAGAGAATCTTACAATAAGGGAGTGAGATGTATGGTATTTGCTGATGCAATTTGGCTTTTGTTTAAGTGTGAGACCTCCAGGGAAGCTCAAACATGCCATTGAATATCAAAGGACTGAGTATGGAGAGCAACCAACTGCAAACTAGGGTTTTATTTATATATGTTTTGTACAGAAGAAAGGAAACAGGCAAACAGCAAACAACTTTTTATGTTATTCCTTTTTAAAAAATTTAGTCTTTTTTTTTGTAAACAAACAGTTACCCTACTAACTTGTCTAAAGTTCTTCTACCTATCCATAATAATCCACTTTCTTTTTCCAAATTTCCCGTCAAAATGGACCAAAGAAACCACAACAAAAAATATGGTTAGGCTCTCCAGTGTTGCTAAAGCATCTGTCAAAAGTTTATAATTCGCTCTAAAAGGCCCTTGCAAACTGCATAACTCAGACCTAACTGGTTTTATACGAAATTGATTTCACTTCAAAAATGAATTAAAATCGAGCATGCGACTGATTTTTCTCTACAACTCAGACCTAAATTTACCTTAAATCTATACATTGGAGGAGAACAAGGCAACAAAAGACTGATCTTTTCATGCAAATTTAAATCCAAACCACGAGTAAACTATGGGGCTGCTTGTGATGCATACCTTGGTGATGAAGATTAGAAGCGGATAAATTTGAGAATCCAAAGCAGGACTGCTTTGCCAAATGAATTTGGAGTGCTCTGTTCCAAATGCAAAATTGAGGTCCCAAATATGAAAAAAGAGAAAATCTGAAATTAACAATAACTAAACTCGAGAACGTTACAATAACAACCAAGCCTTAATCCCAAAAGAATTTGATATCATTGCCAAACAGAGAGACAGACGGGGAAGTAAGATAAAACGAAAAAAGAATACAAGTTCGATAAATATAGCACGGATGTGAGTAATACATACTCCGAAGACATACTCCGATCAAAGAATACAAGTTCGAAAACCTTAAAATCATAACTCATAAATTATTAAATATTTAAAAAGTCATAACTGTTAACTAATACGGAGTAGTAGTAAGTAATAACAGGCTGACTAATAACTATAATAAAAAATCAATTAAGTAAAATAACCTGCGATTGAAGATTCTGCGAAGGCTCAAGGCTGCGAGAGTGCGAGGAGCCGAGGCTGTTGGACTGCGACTGAACGTGAAGTCGTGAATAGGCGAAGACTGAAGAGCACCAGGCGGAGTAGGTGTGCAAGCGGAGCAGGTGTCGAGGGGGAGCGGCGAAGCAGGCGTCCAGGCGGATTAGGCGGCACCGGCAGTGCCGATTCCGCGATTCAGCAGATGAGCAGAGTGGCGGAAACGAGGAGTCGTCTCGGCGAAGCGTGTTGCGGTATTGCGTTTGGTTTTTGCGCTGCGTTTGCAGTTTGCTGTTTCACCCGTTTTTTGTGTTGAAAGAGAAAACTTAGAAGCTTCTCTTCCCCTAATCTCAAAGTTTGTGACCTCAATTATTCTGATCTGATTTGAATTATTCTGTCTGATCTGAATCTTTCTGATCTGATCTGAATCTTTCTCATATAAATCCTTCTATATGATATGACTTAATTTGAATATTTAGTTAATTATAATTACAATTATAATTATTATAATTATAATTGTAATTCTAAATTTAATTTAAACATAATTATAATCATAATGATAATAATTATAATTAAAAATAAAGTTATAATAATTATACCTATTACACCTAATTATAATTATAGCTATAATTATAATTGTAATTATATTTTTCATTATAATTATTTCTATAATTATAATTATAAATATAATTACTTCGTATAATCATAATCACTCTGTATAATAATAATAATAATAATAATAATAATAATAATAATAATAATAATAATAATAATAATAATAATAATACTAATAATAATAGTAATACTCAAAATTCACACTTTCCAAAATTCCCAGAAAATCATATCATACTCAAACAAGTCATTCATAGCCTGAATCACATATAAAATTTCATAAAGAATTTCAAATCATAGCTCAAATCCTAATTAATACATAGTAAAGGCAAAATAGTATTTTTGGTTGCGATAGTCCTTACCTCGAGGATAGAAACGAGTCCTAAACGTCAAACCTAGCTTGAGAGGTCACTCATACGTTCCTAGGAAGTTATAGGACCGAAAAATTACAATTTAGGAGAAAGGAATCAAGAAAATGAACAAACGTGCGAATTGGCCTAAAAAATCGTGTTGTATGTGTTAGATTGAAGAGATGAAAGAGACATATATTTTGAGAGGCTGTGCTATGGTTTTTGGAATGAGGGAAACCGGAATAGAGATGTATTTATAGTGAATTTTTGAAGTTTGGGTCGAACTGAGCTTAAATTAGGGACACACGCCGTGCGTGGTTGGCAGTAGCCCCGTTTCTCAATTTTGATGCCACGCACGGTGTGTGTGGCTCCCAAACGTCCAAAACCATAGATTTTGCTCGGTTTCTTCCACGTTTGGACCACCCCCTTAATCCCAAACACTAAATCAAACATAATAACTATCTAAAGACCATCTAAATGATACGAAACACAATTTTAAATATTTCCTAAATTCTCTCTAATTTTCGTGGTATTTCACCCCTCTTAAAGGACGCTTCATCCCTGAAGCTCAAGTCAAAAGCAAAGTCAAGATGACACGCTGAAGGAATTTGCTTATCAAGGAAGCTCGGGGTTTTAGAATACTAGGAGTATATATACCTACTTCATCCTCTCACGTTCCTATGTGTTATCAAAGTTCTTACAAAAGAGAGACAAAGTTTATAAAACTGGGAATTCCTAAAACACTCCACTATGTTCTATCTAATATCTCAAAACGTATGATACTAGGAATATTCTCATAACAATTTTCAAATTTCAATAACTCAAAAGATACCCTAGGATAGGGAATACCTAGGAGCAACCATTGAAAAAATTCCAATCAATTCACAAATCTCAAAACCAATCCAAAACAACACAAAACACAATAAACAATCATCTCACAAGCTCACACACGTCCAAGCCTTAAAATTCAGTCCTACTCAGATTCTTTAGTCCTAATGAATAAAATCATCAAGTCAATTCAAATAGTTTTAGAAAACCTTTAAACAATTTTGTAAAACAAAGGCTTTGGTACCATTTTGTAACACCCCCAAATTCACACCCAAAATAGTTGCTAATTGTAGCAAGTATAGAAAGAATTTTCCAAAACATTTAATTTAAAAAGAGTCTCAATTGCTGCCGAATAAAATAGTCAATGAGTGTTACCGCCACATTCGACTTTCTCTTAACCGAATGCATAGGCCAAACCACAATCCAAATATAATCCAAGTAACTAAGTACTGAAATCTCAAAAAAAAGAACAACAACTTAATTGTCTACATGGGGGGAGTGGTAAAATACTTTGTATGCTTTTTATATAATCTATTTTACATGCAAATCAATTGCTTCCCTAAACTTTACATGCAATCATTTCACATGTAAAGATTTAACGTGTAAACTAACAAACGAGCCCTTAGAGGTAAATGTGTGGATGTGAGCTTTTTTAGTACATGGATCTACGTGTTGGATTCACAATTGTAGAAATATGTTATATTTTGTCTGTGCACATTTGAACGAGACATGGCGATTATAAAAAGTGTGTTACACACATCATGATTTAACGTGTAAACTAATAAACGAGCTCTTAGAGTTAAATGCGTGGATGTGATTTTTTTTAGTACATGGATCCACGTGATGGATTCACAATTGTAGAAATACGGAGTTACACACGTTATGAGTCCAAAAGTAAAAGTAAGTAAAAAGGTGGATACAAATATGATTTTTTGCAGTTCTATTTAAATTTCATAAAGCCTTGTGACCCTAGTCGACAAAGGACCACAAGGAGCTAAACCAGTCTAGGTTGTCCACAGCTGATCGGCTCACAATTTGGAGAGGTCACAATAATCATTCCCCTCGCAGGATTCTAACTTTAAGTCCTATGAAATGACCCCTTAGTTGTTTTTTTTGCAGTTCTAAGGGGGGGTTTGGAACTAATTCTGCTTCTGATTCTTTTTTAAAGCAAAAGCAGAATCAGTTTTCAGAAGCTGGTCACCCCCAACTTCTAAAAAAACTGATTCTAGAAGTATATTAGAACACCATAATCACTTCTGCACTTTTACGCAAACACTCTAACTTTTCTTCTATTCCCTCTAGTTTTAACAATATCCAAACACCCCCTGAATATCAAGGACAGGCTGCACGGACTGTTGTTCTTCTCCAAATTCCCATTCCTTTCTTTTACTAAGCTCTAAAGAAGTTACAGAAATGATGTCCAGATATGACGAGAAAGATTTTCTGGCTTGTTGTGGGAGCACCAGATTCGCCAGGGAAATGGCATCAGCCGCTCCCTTCTCCGACTGCGACGCTGCCGCAATGGCCGCCAGAGACATTTGGTTCAACAAGGCATCCCGCTGCATCTTTTCTTCTTTCTCGTATATTTTCCAATTTTCACTATCATAGATTGAAATTGATCTCAGTTTGATTTCTCAGGTCGATGTAAACGGCTGGCTCGAAGCTTTCGCTGCTCATCCCCAAATCGGCCGTATGCCATCACAGAATCATAAAAGCCCAACTAGTGCACAGTAACTCCCATCTGTCTCTCCTCTTACCTCGACCAATCTGTGAATGGATGTTTTTATTCCATTCTGTTCACAGAAGTGTGAAACAATGCAGAATTTTGAACACACTATTGCCCATTTTAAAATTTCAGGAATGTCTGAATAGAAGTTGAGATTTGAGTCTCATATATTCAGTTCAAATTTCATCCTATGTGTGGGTTTTGTGCTAAACCTAGGCTGGTGATGGTGTGCATTCTTAATTTCTTGCTAAACTCATGGAAGTGATTTCTGGGCATTTTAACTTTCAACCACCTGTACATGTACCCACGGTGGTAACTATTACTTGCAGACTTGCAGACTTGCAGACTTGCAGTTTTATTACTTGCTTGTCTGTAACCTGCATATGAAGGCTATGTATGGAACTCCGCATGTGGTAGGGAAATAGAAAAATAAAAAAAAAATGAAATTGTGTCTTTGTAGTGCTTGGTTTACCTCGGAAAATATGAAGGAAAACCAAATTCTAGTAAAATTTTGTGTGAGTATATATTTACACTTCATAGTATTTATATAGTAGAAATATTTAAGTAAAACGAGTTTGAACAAAAATCTAAAAATGAACGTACTGAAATTTTATTTTCCTCACATTTTCTTTCAAAAAGTTGTCACTATTATTCTTCCATGTTCCAAACAGAACATTTAAGTACGAGCATCTTCCAGGTTCCAAACAGAACTGGAAGCACCTTTAATGCAAACTTTACATACTCTCCTTTTTCCCAGGTGGAGTAAGGGAGAGCAGGCAACAGCCCTAGCTACTGCCACTGATTCTAGCTTACAGGTTATGTAATAATCTAAACAATTTATTTTCAAACTCAATAACACTCACTTGCCTTTCATATACTTTTCTTCTTCTTTTGTGGTAGTGATTCACACCCAAGCAAAAGAGTTTTAATCCATAACATAGCTTGACCTGTGTTATTTTCAGGAACTAAGTGAGTGGAATGCTCGCTACATGGATAAGTTTGGATTCGTCTTCCTAATATGTGCTTCTGGAAGAAGTACCTCTGACATACTTACTGAGTTGAAGGCACCCTTTTGCTTTTCATCTATCTTCTTTTTTACCTGTTTCTTTTCCTTTGTATAATATGTTGATGATTCGGTGCTTAATCCATTGAAACTTTCTATGATGGCCAGAGACGTTATGAACACAGACCTATTATTGAGCTTGAAATAGCAGCCGGGGAGCAAATGAGAATAACTGAGTTACGCCTGGCCAAGCTCTTTCAAGCTGAATTAGATGGCGCCATTGTGTCTAAAGCTCATTCAATTACGGATACTTCTAAATTAGAAGGTGATTTTACCTTTTAGATTTGGAATTGACCAGTACCGTTTTTCTTCACTTGACCCTTGGCTCATGTTTTTTTCAAAATAAGGTTCAGGGAGGGGGGGGGGGGGGGGGGGGTTAGCGAAGTGGCGGGGAAGAAACTTGAGGCTATTAGAAATGTACTACACTATCCTTGGCTCAAATGCTCAATGGAGTGAGTATGAATTTTTCCCTTCCTCCCAAATATATTGTCCACTTGGACTAGACCAAGTATGTTAGAAAGTGATAATTGTGTGGCTAAGATTAATCTACAAGAGAGAAATAATGGGAACAACATATTGATATTTTAAAAGAAAATAAGTGATAATTTGGGATGGATGGAAAAAAAGTGGGAAGAAAAAGTACGTAACAGTGTATTTGATGCTCTTATGATTATTTTTGTAATTTTAAAAGCGTATTGATCTACATGTATAGTAATAATAATGTAGAACAAGTTAAGAAAAAGTTAGTGAAACAAAGCTGATAACCCCCCCCCTCCCCCAACCCCCCAAAATTTGGGAGTGCAATATGTGGAGATAGGAGGATTTTGTAGCTCCATAATTTCCCCTAAATCCCTAGGCATTGTGCCTTAGGAAATGCGGGCAATTGGGGGAAAGGGATTTAGATGCAATATGAATGCAATAGGAGGAAGGAGATCAAGACCTTGGGATATGAGTGCAATGTGCATTGACACACACAACACAACATTAAATGGATCTTTTATGGTTGGTCTAATATGTAGGTCAGCTAAAACTTTTCTGTACTGGTAACATTTTCCAACATTTGAATCTTGAGGCCATCTAAATCTCCTTCTTCCTAATGGGACCACTATAATTCTTTCAAGACCTTGATGACATTCTGAGACCTAATGCCTGTGTAGTGGTACATTGATAGCACATGTTTTACTTGTGTCATTTGCTTACAAGGTTCCTTAAAATTGTTCATTCATTCTGTTTATCTTTTTCACAGTAGCAGTCACAAACTAGTTGATATTTTGATTGTAGAAGATCGCATGAACATCATTGGAGCACATTTGAGAGGTCAAATAGGGAAACCAGCTCACATTCCGCCCAGGAGCCGCCCGCCCATCACAACCCACATTCTTGATGTTGCACGTGGATGCCCTGCCAAAGGTGTTGAGGTGCTATTGGAGGTGTGGAAAGGAAACCAACCACGGCCCAACTTTGGAGGAGCGGATAAAGGTGGTTGGGTTTTGCAAGGGTCATCGGCTACCGACAAAGATGGCCGGTCCGGTCATTTGATGAAGTTGGTTGAAGATTTGGACCCAGGAGTGTATCGGATAAGCTTCAACACTGGCAAGTATAATCCTGATGGGTTTTTCCCCTTCGTCTCCATTGTGTTTGAGATCAGAGAGTCTCAGAAATGGGAGCATTTTCATGTCCCTCTCTTGCTTTCTCCATTCTCCTTCTCTACTTACAGAGGCAGCTAATTAAGTAGACCGTTACAGTGTTCTGCCAATCCTTATTATGTTATGTATAATAAAGTAAGCTGGATGGGGGATACGTATATGCTCTTACATTATTACTCTGTATATTATGTTCATTGAATTTGTGGTACTCTGTAGTCCGTGCTAATTTTTTTATGCGTAAATTTTATCCATGGCCATGTATGGTTTTTTAAAAAACTAAATAACAAATCCGAAATTGTCAAAAAATAAGACTCATATTATACTACGTACTTATTATGTTATATTAATCACTTCTTATTGGAATATTACTTTAAAATTAACTCCAAGTGTCATATCCGTTACAATGCCATCTCCACGCCAGGAAGAAGGGGAGGGCGGCCTCTTTTACAGGAATGTGATGTGATATGGAGCCATTCAATTCCTATGGGGTAGCTATAAATACCGCATGCATTTATTTATCCAGTCCTTTATAAATCTGCTTTTGATCTCCTTTAATTACCTCTGAACTTAAATACATAGTTAATTAATTATTTTCACGTAAAGATTAACTAAAAATGCAGGCTATCAAGGAGAAACTGAATGATATGAGTGCCATTCGCAAGGCCAAGACGGCAGCCAAGGAGGAAGAAAAGGTACATATATACCTAATACTAGTCTATTCGACTCTAATTTACCTTCTATATAGTTTCGAATGGAGGGAATAAATCATAACGAATGTGATTATTATTTATAATTTTCGTTTTTGGAACAGGCGGAGAAAGAATATGCAAAAGCAAGAATGGAAGTGGCTCATGAGGTGAGAATGGCGAGAGAGAAAGAAGCAGAGATGGATTATTATGTAGCCAAAGCTGCGGATAAAGCTGCTCAGCATGAAGCCAAACACTGCCATGATGATGGTGAACAGCCGCCACCATCTGCCTCCGTTGACGGTGGTGATCTGCATGCCAGCAGCCGCCCGCCTTCTGCCACCATTTTGACCGCCGAAGGCGACCCCAGATAGTCGCCGTGCAACCTGCAGCATCCTCCTCGGAGTGAATTAATGCCCGATCATATCCCTCAAGGCCGCTAGATTCCATCTTTACTAATCTTTAATGAACTTGAATTGTAGCTTTTGCTTATGTTATTGTTAGGAATCACACATACATTACTGCGTATATCAAAATAAAACAAAGTTATTGTAGAGAAATGTGGTTGATACAATATGTAGTTGACCTTTCTAAATACTCCGTAGTTGCTATTTGTCCAATATGTAGAGACTATTTTGCGGTTCGTATACGGTGCAACCGGCGCACCTTGAGCATCATGCTCCACTCTAAAAAATGATGTAGTTTTACACAATTTTAAAAACAATCGTGTGAATAGTACATGCGTCATATTTTTTTCCTTTTGTCCCAGTAGCATGAATGATGTAACTCGCGTGTAAAGATATGTAACTCACGTTATTGATCAATGTAACTCCCGTCCGTTCGAAATGTAACTTGTCAAAATACATAGTATAAAAAATAAAATATTGATTTCAATGTAAATAATGAAAAGAAGAAGTCTAATTGCCCAATTATTTTACATAAATATTGTATATGTTTTGTTTTTAATATTAGATCTATAAAAAAGTTTTTTATGAAAATAATTTTTTTTTGAATAACAGAGCTTATTGTGTTGTGTAACTCGCAACGTATTGTGATGTAACTCGCATTATGAAAAATGTAAATTACATGTAAGTGAGATGTAACTTGATGAAGAAAGTTGACATGTAACTTACGTTAATAGATATGTAACTTTAGGCAAATACTGGTGTAACTTGAGTGTGAGTAAGATGTAAGAAGGTGAGTTTTCATCATTAGAATCTGAACTTTCATATTAAAAACATTATTACTATTATACATATAGATTAAAACAAAAAAGTAGCTTGAAGTCATTATATTGGCCCACATATACGGACTCCAGATCCAAAATACACACCTGCAACTTCAGAAATAAGGGATAGCCGCATATCACCGATGTTTACTTCAATCCGCAGAAGGATGACGTTGAGATGCTCATAGCGCCTGCACTAGCAATAGACCTAATCTTTACATCGGTGCAACCAATTTCAGGGAAGGCCGTGGGGCGACGGCGAAACCTCTAGTCCCACATGCAGCGGAGTTCCATGGTGAGATGAAACAATGAAGGAGATGAAGGGGATCCGGCGATTTGCTCTTTTTTTAATAGGAAGCATAAAACTGTACCGTTTTGGGATCGGCACACCATGCTCATGGTTGCCCGATCCCACAGTATAATTTGCGCTATTTTGGGTTGATAGTTTGATACAATAGTGATTGACGATATATATAATCATATTTGTACTATTATATTTCTTTCAATATAATTACATAAATATACAAAAGGTCTGATTAAAGAGTGAATATAGGGCCTGTTTACTACCAAAGATATTTTCCAGTTTTTCAGAAAACTGGAAAACTGGAAAAAAGAAAACAGAAAACATTGGATGCTGTAAAAAAATGCTGGAAAAATATAGAAAGGAAAACAAAAAGTTGCGTTTACCAAAACCACTAAACTAAAAGTGACTTTTTGCTGGAAAAATATTTGCCAAAAATTGCTGGAAAAATATAGAAAAGAAAACAAAAAGTTGCGTTTACCAAAACCAGTAAACTGAGATATGTCTCTATTTTCCTTCATGAATTGGAGAAGTGACTTTTTACTAGTTTTCCAAATTTGGAAAACGCGGATGCTGTAGTGCCGCTGCAATGAATTTGCACACTTACACCTAGTGTTGGATCCGGCTTTGCGAAGATATTAAACGCTTTCAACGGAACAAAATAGAGCAAGATATGATCCCATCAAATTCTACACGAGTTCGGAGTGAAATCAGAAACATTTGTGAATATATGGTTAATCTGTAACTTTTAATTAATGCATTGTAAATGAAGTTGGAACAATAGCTTTAGAGCACCAAATTATCTTTCCAACGAGATATAATATGCCCAAAGCGGAAGAACACACAACAAGATATGAGTGTCACAAATACTTAGCCTTATCTCTATGATTTAGCGTTTTCAGCGTAAATAGAGCACTTTTAGCGTAAATATAGTGTATTTTAGTAATTAGGCAATCATACCTTGATATTTTGAAACCAGCGCCTGAAGACAAGTTTTAGAACTCGGTAAGATCTTTCCAACGAGATATTAAACGCTTTCAACGGAACAAAATAGAGCAAGATATGATCACATCAATTCTACATGAGTTCAGAGTGAAATCAGAAACATTTGTGAATTTATGGTTAATCTGTAACTTTTAATTAATGCATTGTAAATGAAGTTGGAACAATAGCTTTAGAGCTCCAAATTATCTTTTCAAAGAGATATAATACGCTCAAAACGGAAGAACACACAGCAAGATATGAGTGTCACAAATACTTAACCTTATCTTTATGATTTAGCGTTTTCAGCGTTAATAGATCACTTTTAGCGTAAATACAGTTTATTTTAGTAATTAGGCAATCATCCCTTGATATTTTGAAACCAGCATCTGAAGACAAGTTTTAGAACTCGGTAAGATCTTTCCAACGAGATATTAAACGCTTTCAACGGAACAAAATAGAGCAAGATATGATCACATCAAATTCTACACGAGTTCTACCATCGCCACAATTATAGGGCGATGGACCAGTGACAGACCCAGAATTTTTCTGAAGCGGGGGCACTGCCTCATAGATGGAAATGGGCCGGGTCGAATCGGGCGTATCATTAGTCTTTTTTGTCAAGTGCGTTGAGATTATTATTTTTAACTGGAAATAGATTATTCATTGCCGGCTTGAAGTAATGGGCATATATGGATTATAAGTCTAATTTTGAACTTATTAAGACAATTCTAAACAATATGTATGACTTTTTGAAAGAAAGATATAATTTGGATAAAAAAAGATTCATCTTTGCGTCTTTTCTGATTTCACATTAGAATTCTCGTTATTTTTCATACTATAAAAAAATCAAAATTTCACATTTGAACTAGAATCATGTCAAATATTACACATTGTGCCACAAAATTTGTTGGTACTTTGTCTAGAATATAACTCTATCATGTTAAAAATGAAGTATAGATCATGTTTATGATTCCATCCTTTAATACAATTTTATTTAATAATATGATTTATATATCTAACATTTATCATATTATAGATACAAAATTCAAAGAGTCTGTTGGTTTGAAACTAATGTATCGCGAATTGACACATTTTTCATGTATGAACCTTTATTCAAGATAAAAGTCTTCAATTTATTAAGTTCATCTACATATTAGAAACCTTGTCATATTTTTGACATTTAACTTTGGACAAACATTATTTACACCAAGTAAAAAAATTACCAATGCCACTTTTCAAAGAAAGTGTAGTAACCATATCAACATGTCTAACTATAAGGATTTGCTCCATCACAACTTCGTGGTTGTTTATAATTTATACTACTATGGGGTGTTTGGTTAGGAGCCTATCAACCATTTTTTGGCTGTTTTGACCATAATTAGCCTTTTGACCAGACTAATAAGCTAATAAGAGTGTTTGGTGAATTGGCTTTTTTGGATGGCTTTTTATCCAAAACAACTAAAATGCAAAATGCCAACAAAAGCAGCGTTTAGGTAATGGTTGTTCAAGAATCTACCGCAACATCTTCCTTGAAAGAAGACTAGCTTGCAGGTATTTCAGGCCTCCTTTTTTTAGCTCTACAACTTCTCTCGCAGTCCAACACAAGGAGGAAAGAAAGTCAATTAAAAAAATAAGCAACCCAATGATTCATTTTTAGCAACGTAGAGATTCTTGTTTTAATGTTTAGCCTTTTCTTCCTTTAGCTCCAATTAGTTTTGTAGCAGAAAAGTCATTTGAAAAAGGTTCAGGAAGTTTTGTGGGTTTAATACTTTTTATGTTAAAATAATAATAATAACAATATGAATAATAAGGAGTACAATAATAATGATAATAATAATAATAGAATAATAATAATAATATACAAATGGATAAGGACCACAAAAGATTGTATGTAATTGCTTGAAGGATGTAAAATAAAAGTTTACATTTGAAAATCACAAAAACGGTTTAGGTAATTGTATTAATTAAATTAACTGATTAAAAATTAATTGATATCCTCAATAGTCATTTAACAAGTTATCAACTAATTGTAAACAACCATCTAATCAAACACCAATTTACGAACGACTAATACTATCAGCTAATCAAAACAGCCAACAGAACCCGCTGCAATCAATCCGCCAACACAATCAGCCAACGACTAACAACCAACAGCTATTTGCCAAACACCCCCTATATCTTACTACAATTGTTATGTCTTCGATGGAGTCCTATATATCTTATAGTTTTTTGAAATATTGACAATATGATTGAAATAAAGATAGTCGATAACAATAAGACTTAGTAACTACAATGGTAATTATAGCGATCATGATTGTGTTCAATCTATCAGTATAGTGACTATGCATAGTAACTATAGTAATATTTATGTTCATTAGTTTTACTTCGGTAATATTTATGGAAAAATCTCTAGTTTTTTTTAACGGGGTAGCAGGACCACAAATACTTATTTTAAGTATTAATCTTAAACTTCGGAGTCGGAAGAGGGGCACTTGCCCCCCAGGACCCCCTTAGATCCTCCACTGGCGATGACGGATAAATTAATAATGATATGATAAATTGTACCCTGGTCCTAGCTAATATAAACTATAGAAGTGTTTCATAAATATCTCTTGATGAATATCTAAACGCTGATGTTTTTTGCTGATATTTCTAGCTATTGTGTAAACATTTTAAAGTAATAACTAACTAATCTAACAAATAAAAGCTTAAACATTCCAAACTAAAAAACAAGTACAACAAAGATACTCCGTATATTACATCCACCATGACAACAAAGGTTTATTTTTTGTAAGCATATGTTCAATTTTGTATTTGAGACCGTATAAATCCTAAAAATGGAATAAATCAAAAGTAATCCTAAATAAAATTATGTCAATATAATCTAGATTCTCATTCTTTTTATACCATTTTGAAGGATGAATAGTCATGATATTATGATTTTGGCGGGACCTAGAAAGAGTTATATGCTTTTCGCCACAACGGAATGAAGAGCCAACTCTTATACTCCGTACTATAGTAGGTTGGAGATGTAACTTTCTATTGTTATTGTTATTGGTTAGGTAACTTTAATCACTTACAAAATTGATCCCGTAATTAATAAATCTTTTTAATTTAAGGATTTTTCTATCGGAAAGAACACTTTTCGACAGAAAAATTAGACGATGGTGACATCTTTTCTGCTATACTATTGTCGGAAAGTGTACTTTTCAAAAGGGAAAAATCCTTAAATACAAATATTAATTAGTTACAAGACTAAATTTTCAAGTGGCTAAAGTTACGTGACTAATAAATAAAACGGCCGAAAGTTATGAGACGAAAATTGCAAATTTCTATAGTTTGTTTTAAATTAAACTTGCTTATTACTGTGCACGTTATACGTAGTACTCATTATTTTTTGTTCAATGGTTTTGAAGTTCTTATAAAACTTTGTAACTTTTCATACCCTATGGAGTATTAGTTTAGGAACACAAAGATCGATGTGATTAAATGAGCTTTACACGGTTAACGTCATCTCTCAACTATCTAAAATGTAGTAAATGTAGTCCTTAATAACTAATGAGGAATCGTCAAAAGTACTACTTGATTAATAATGTCTAGGATGACATTTACAACATCAAGTTAAGCCTAAATTTAAATATGGATAAAAAAGAGAGTGAAAAAATGTGATTATCCTTCCAAAAAATTAAATATAAATACATAAACTATAAAAAACAAAAATAATTTAAGCCTTAGAATTAAAAAATTTAAATTTAAATTAAATGTAAAATATACAAAATTAAATATATACTTAAAATAAAGAATATAAGAGCCTGTTTACTTACAGATATATTTTCCAGTTTTCCAGAAAACCGGAAAACTAGAAAACAGAAAACAGGAAACGTGTTTACCAAAGAAAATTGCTGGAAAACTGGAGAAAAGAAAACAGAAAAACGCGTTTACCAAACCGTTTCCCAAAATGAAAAAATGAGACATGTCTCTCTTTTCCTTAATGATCTAGAGAAGTGACTTTTACTAGTTTTCCAAATTTGGAAACGCAGATGTTACAGGCCGCTGCAATGAATTTGCATACTTACACCTAGTAGTGGGTCCAGTCCCGCTCCGATGTCGATTCTATTCTAGTACCTCCATCCTCGTACCTTACCCCTACCCACCCAACCCCCACCCCGCATACCCCTTTTCCCTACAATGACCCTACCCCACCCCCTACCACATGCCCCTACCTCGGTCCCACCCCGATAAACCCTACCCTACCGCCACCCCCGAACACCCTACCCTACCCCCACCTTGTATATTACCCCTTACCCCCTAACTTACCCCTTCCCACATGCCCCCTACCTCGGTCCCACCCTACCGCCATCCTACCCCCACCCTCGTACCGCCATCCTACCCCCACCCTACTGCCATTCTACCCCCACCCTACCTCTTCCCCTACCTCAGCCCCACCCTACCGCCATCCTATCCCAACTCCCTACCCTACTCACTACCCCCACCCTTACCCCTAACCACCACCCTAACCCATCCACTACCCCACCCCGTACCCCTAGACCTTTCCACCCCACCCCCGACCATACCCGTTACCCCACCCCACCCCACCCATACCTTCCTTCCCTACCCCGACCCCTACGAGTAGGTATGGGTGGGTATGAAGGGTTTTAGGGGAGTATGGGTAGAGTGTAAGATCGTTGTAAGGGTAGGGATAGGGCTCAAGGGTGTGGAATTAGGTGTAGGGTGTAGGGTACGAGGTATAGGGGCAGGGTAGGGGTTAGGAGTATGAGTACACGTACGAGGTGATCGACCCTACATATTATTTTATATTTATGTTCATGAATGTTTGTGTGTCTATATATGTATAGGGTTATTTTAGACATTTTAATGTTAAACGGTGTTTTAAACCTTTTGAAGTAAACATGATCTTATAACATTGCTTATTTTATGTGTCGCTTATTAACGTGAGTCTTAATAAGCACCATTTAGTAACCTGTGAAGTAAACGTGTCAGTCTTCAGGATGATCACAGAACTGAGTGAAAAAATTGATGAACATGTTTTCAGATTTCAAAATGTAAAACTAGAAAATAGAAACATAAAACTGGAGATAGAAAAACTGAAAAATAAAAATAGAAAATTAGAGAACGAAAAATAGAAGTAGAAAACAGGAAAATATCTATGTAAATAAACATGCCCTAAGTTCTTCAAAAAAACGAAAATCATACTTTGATTAGGATTTCAACCTCTTCTGAAAAAAGACACTCCAAAAGTGCTATCATTATAAAAATTTCTAATGCTCAATTAAATATAGAAACAATGGAAAAAATATTACTCATGGTCTTTTGATGGACAAAAATATCACTAAATTTCAATTGGGCAAAAAAGAGAGCAAAATATCCCAGGCCTAGCTACTTGCGGGACTCTCTTTCTCCCTAGCCTTGCGCAACTCTCTTTCTCCCCAGCCTTGCGCGACTCTCTTTCTCCCCGGCCTTGCGCAACTCTTCTCCAATCACCTTCTTCCTCTCCCAAATCGGTGCCTCCACCAGCACGACGGCTCCGATGTTGTTGCTCTGCTGAAGAAGCTACATCTCGGCGCTTCTACCAGCCGGACACATTTATCACCTTTTCTTCCCTTTTCTTAGCATCGCCACCGTACTAGTCGATTTCAAGGATGAATAAGACGAGTCTCTTGATCGGATCACTCGCCTTCAACTAAGGTTGAGGAGCTGGTGTGGCTGGGGTTACAGGTTGGGATGGGGGTAGGGTTACGGGTTGGAATGGGGCTCGGTTTGGGCGGCGGTGTGATTGGAGACGGTGGCAATAGGTGGGGCGAAGTCGGACTGGTAATAAGCTGGTGATGGGGCTGCGAGATGGGGAGGGGGTTGTAATGTGAAAGAGTCAGATGAGAGGGGGCGATTGCAGGGGAGAGAACGACGTCATTGTGGTGGAGTCACTGTGACGGCGTCACTGTGGCGGTGGCGGTGTAATTGGCGTGAAAATATTTGACGGTGACCACTCTTAGTGACATGAAAAACGATCACAGTGTTTTTTGTGTTCACGCGTGTTGAGAGCGTCTCTCTCTGGAACCTTCCTTCCAGACTCACGCGGAAGGATGGTTGTCGTCGATTCTTCGACTGAGCTGCGTTTTTTGTGTTTGTCGGACGAATTTCACTCCCGTTTTGATTTCCGTGCTCGGATTAGTTACTGGTATATTGTTTTTAAGGCCATCTTGGCCAAAATCGATTTTCTGGTGCGAAGGTTTCTGCTCGTATTTCGCAGGTGCTTCGTTGCAGAACAGGTTTAATCGGGACTGGTGTGGTATCCGGACCGACTAGCCAACCTGGATTTCGTCTGTCTCTGCACCCTGATCAGATTTTAGGTCTGAAAAAGGGCTCCTGTGGTGTGCGATGCAGAAAAATAGACGCGAATTTGGGGAAAATCCCAGGATGCGTTGTACGCGCTCTTCGTCTAGGTTTGATGTTCTTGGAGACATAGATGTTGAATTCCCACTCGCCTGTGTGAAAATTCCCGGTACAAGGGCTGCGGAATTCACTTCTGCTGCAGAAAGAACTGGTGCTGTAGGGACTTCTGGACTACTTAAACAGGTAACGATGCAGGCTGGGATTAAGACCAAGTCAGGTCTCTGAAGCTTTAGAAAACTTGGATGAGAATTTCCCAGAGTTGCAGAACATGAATGTGATGAAACTAGGAGACAAACCAACTGCTAAGGTTAAAACTCCTGGGAAACCTACTGGGAATTCGCCTACACCTGTGACTGCAAAGAAAGATGCAATAGCTACTAGTATAGAACCTACAGCTACAGGGCCCTTACTTACTGCTAAGCCTGGGCAGACCACTTCTGGGGACTTTGGGAAAGCTGGACAGAACTCCCAGGCTGCAGGTGCTGAAAAAACAGGGCATATGGGGACTGCTCCTCAAGCAATTGCTAAGCAGCCACGGGAGAAGAAGCAAATTACAAATGGGGATGCAGCTGCTAACATCTCTGGGAAAGGACCTCTGCATACCGGGGCTGCTACTCTAGCAGCTGGTCTGGCAGAAACTTTGGCTTTGACTCAGGGGGATGTGCATACTACTCCGGAACAACCTGCTAAGGCTCCACCTGCCGCTAAGGGTACTGTTGCTGCAGTTAATGTAGGGGCAAAACTGATTGAAAAAGCACCTGCACAAACTGAATATGGGGGTGCAGGGGCTGCTAGAGCTTGGTCTTCACTTTTCAAAGACAACCGGGACCCCTCAAAGGGCTTGAAATTGAGGTATATCCCGCCGAAAGGCAATTCTTTAGATTTTACGGATAGAGTCTTGCCCTCTATGGTCGACATGTGGGGATTTTGTCTTGTGGGTTTCTTTACCGGGAAGTTTCCGGGCCTTAAAGCGGTGTATGACTTGAAAAAAACTTGGGGGGTTACTTGCATGGTTGATAAGCATAACAAGGGATGGATTATTTTCAAATTTAAAAATGATGAAGATAGATCAAAAGTTTTGAATGGAGGTCCTTATAACATCTTTGGTATACAACTCATGTTAAAAACGCTTTCGGAAGATTTTTCCTTTGATGATGATGAATTTCTCAAAGTCCCGATTTGGGTAAAATTTCCTAATCTACATATGAAACTTTGGAATGAGGAGGCTATGAGTGAGGTTGCATCTATGGTGGGGGTCCCGCTTTCTACGGACAAAGTTACTCAAAATAGGAGTAATCACCACTTTGCCAGAGTTCTGATTGAAGTTGATGTTTCTAAACCACCCTCGCTTTCTTTTCCTATACGGCTACCTTCCGGTAAGGTAGTCAAACAAATGGTGGTTTATGAAACTTTCCCTCACTTTTGTTTCCATTGTAAAATGTATGGACACCACCCATTCATTTGCAATAAATTGGCATCAAAAGAACGGGATTTGGCTACTGTTGATAAGAAAGAGGATATTGTGAATGAGGGTTCTCAAGTGGAAATTGTGGGAACTACTGTACCTGCTGCCCAGCCAGCCCAGGAGCCTCCTGCTGCTGCTTACCCGACCGGGTGCTGCACTGACCCAACCGATACTGGGCAGGCAGTGTCCCAGGGGTCTGCCAGCGCTGTTTTGGATGGTACTATGGGTTTGCACACAGACCAAGGGATTGCAGGGACTGAGCCCACTGCCCAGGGGGCTAAATCGGATTCCATGCCCGAATCAGAGGAGGAAGATGACACAGAAGATGAGGAATCTGATGATGAGCCGAAAGATGAGGAGGAACAGAGAATTCTTGACGAATACTGGGAAAAAATTACTCAATATAAGAAGATGAAGAAAAGGATGGTAGCTGAGCCTGCTCAAATAGGTTTAGGCTGATTTGATATTGTTTCCCACTGCCGTTTATTTGATTGTTTGTATTTGATTTCTCTGATTAGGTGGATATGGGGAATGCCCCATTATTTTGTTGATGCATTATATTTAGGTTAGATTCATCTAACTTAGATAGTCTTTCTAGATTTTGTGTGATACATTGTAAAATGTTATTTTTGGGTGTTTTTTATATATACTTACATTTCATCCAAAAAAAAAAAAAAAAAAAAATGAAAAACGATCACAGTGACATAAATTTTTTGCAGTAACATCATGTTTTCTAATTCCAAATATATTACCTTGTTAATCACTTTTTTGTCAATTTTTAAAAGTACTCACATTTTTGGAAATTAAGTTTAATTCAGTAATATTAGGGGGAAAACCCCTTAAATATATTCACTTTACCTAAGTAGGAAATTGGTCTAAATGACTAAATATGAGCTAAAAAGTACTCCCTCCGTCCCGGAAAATTAGTCCCATTTTCCTTTTTGGGACGTCCCAAAAAATTTGTCCACTTACTAAATAAGGAAAGGTTTTTTAATTAAAAACCCATTTTACCCCTCCTTATCCTTTACCCTCCCACCCTTATCCTTATCCTTTTCACTTATTCGCTCTCTCACCTTCTGTCGTTACCACTTCCGCAGCACCATTCCCACCCTCTTTCCTCTCACTCCTTCATTACTCCAACGATAGCACTTCACCTCTCTCTTACACTATTCCGGCCATTTGTCCTCCCTTTCTTGCACTTTTTAGTTCGTTGAACTTTATTTCCTTCTCTGATTTCATTTCCAGTTTAACCCTAGGTTATCTGTTGATCTAACCGTCTGTCCTAAAATCAAATCCCTAAATCCGATTACCATGAAAGATCTACCTGAATGCAATGAATGCATGGCGGATCTTATGGTTCCAGATAGCGTTTTGGAGTCCCAGATCGAAGACAGTGAAGGTCCGGATAAGCATGTGGTTCCGAACAGTGAAGATGTGTCAGAGGAGGTGGACGGTGGAGCTATGATGACCTTATTGGTTCCGGACAGTGAAGAGGAGGTAGAGGAGGAGGTCGGTGGAGGTTCAGCTTCCGGATAGTGATGCTTGGGCTAAAATAAGGAAGGATGTTCGAATGCAGTACATTCGTTATCCTGGTCTAGAGGACTTCTTAAAACTCATCCTACCCCGCTGGGAATCGAGGATGTGGGACGTTAACGCCCAACAGGGGAGTTTGTTTCTTTATTTGTTTTGCATTGCAAATCTGTATGTTGGTATGTTTCGGAAATTGTTGTCTGGTTTGTGTTACATGTATGTTGTGTGTGTAGATGTGTTTGATTTTGGGACAACAATGATGATTATATGGTGTTCTTGTATCTATGACTAAATGGTAAGGGTTATGTGAGGCTGCTATGATGACCTTATTGGTCTGAGCTTTGTTGCCTGCTATGATGACCTTATTGGTCTGAGCTTTGTTGCCTGCTATGATGAACTTATTGGTCTGAATTTTGTTGCCTGCTATGATGACCTTATTGGTTTGAGCTTTGTTGCCTGCTATGATGACCTTATTGGTCTGAGCTTTGTTGCCTGCTATGAGGTTGTTACAATGACCTTATTGGTATGAGCTTTGTTGGTGTCTATGAGGCTGCTATGATGACCTTATTGGTCTGAGCATTGTTTTGTGTGAGGTTGCTATGATGACAATATAGTCTGAACATTGATTTGTGTGAGGCTGCTATACTGAATAAGAGAGCCATAAGGCTTGAGAAAGGTGTCTGTTATGCTACAACAATATAGGCCTCTAAACATTCCAAATTTCTTAGGCCTCCACAAAATTACAAAAATATAGGCCTCTATATTATGACAAAAAAAGGCATTTACAAAAATAAAAAAAACATGCCTTCAGAACTAATGGATTGAGTTCATTAGTGAAGATGACTTAGTCCTCATCATCTTCATGGATGAACTGGCCATTAGTAGCCTGTTGTTGGGATAAAACATCTTCTGTGGCTTCTAGTAACTCCACATCAACCTCTATGCTTGTTGGTAGTCTCCCTTCTGTGATCATTCTGTCCTTTGCATGGTGTGGCAGCTTGTAGTTGTTCTCCCCATCCACTTTCATAATCTCTAACATCACATATTGGTAGCTTAACCAAACCTTGTTTAGAGTGGTGGGTGAAAGATGGTATAATGCTTCATCTACTGCCTTTAACAGTTTCATCCACATTCTTAGGTGCTTGTTGGTCTTTCAAAGACTGAATTGCCCTAAAGAACCCAAGATCTAGTATGTTAAGATCAGGAGAATTAGGGGGCTGGTTAGTTAGGGTAATATTAAACCCATCTGCTTTTGAGACAACCATAAAGTCTGGGTCTCAATCTAGGATGTGTCCTTACTTAACTGTTCAGGCCATTTTCCCTTGATGCTAGGCAACACATTTTTGATAAGCATGTCCTTAAACACTGATTTTGTTATGCTCAGCACAAGTTTGGTTTCCATTATCCCTGCATCCCTATTCTTGCTTTTCCTTTTAGCAACCACTTTCTCAATGAATGGGAAAATGCTTATTTTACCATCCCATATTACTTCTCCATTATCTGCATACAAAGGCCTCCCCACTGCTCCTAGTGACATGACCTTGGTTATGAATCTTTTAGACTTGCATACCCTATGTGGATCCATTTCTTCCTGTCCCATGTAGTATCTTAGAGATGTTTTTGACAAGAAAAACCATTTCTCATCAATGTGTATCGCATTATGGAAATTTTTAAATACTGGATTGCCTGGAATTGATTTGTCTATTTGTTTGGAACAGAACATCAATCTGTGAATTTTATTTGCTTCACTTAGCAAAGGCTTAATAGCATTTGTATGGCTTCTAAGCACACCTCTCTGAACCAATTTGTGAATACTTGACTTTGAAACTGAACTGGCCGAAACAAGTGCCCTTATGTTAGTCCACTTGGTTTTGACATCTATTGCTTCCCCCTTTTGAATCCGCTCTTTGGCTTTGGTCCAGATCCTGAAAATAGTTTTTCTGGTCACTGAATATTTAATGGCAAGCTGATTTAGAACACCATGCTAAGTTATCACCTCCCTAGAATATGTTCTTGTTGCACTGATTAGAATTTCATCAATTATACTCTCTCGTTCACAGTTTTGTAGTCTTCTTGCTTTGATATTTGAGCTTTGGCCATTTGTTGGTGTGTGCAGAGCTTCATTTATGGCAGTTGGTGAGGAAGGACCATTCACTGCACCTGAAGACAACTCTTTATGAATGGAAGCTGCAGTGGGGGAAGAAGCTGTCTAGGCGCCACTGCTGTTTGCGGCCATAAATGCTACGTGAAGTGTGTGATAGTGTCTAGTGAATTTTTGTGAGGGAGGGAACATTTGGAATGTGTATTTATAGATAGGGTTAATTTAGAAGCTTTCCCAAAAAAAAGAGGGAACTTTAGGGGGAAAGGGGTGTAGTACGAAGGGGTACTGTTATGAACAGTGTAAAGTTTTTGGGTGCAGTAAATCCCCCCCCCCCCCCCCCTAGCCGCAATTCCTTTCTCCTTTTGCTTTAATTTTACTTTAGGGACACTTTGAGAAAGTCAAAACATTTTATAACTTTTCTTAAAATCCGATCCAAGTCAAAATGAGACTAATTTTCCGAGATGGAGGGAGTAACTGATGTGATATTATATACCCCGTACTACATATATATACAATAATGCTTGATGTACCCACCCTTATACCCACCTTATATACCCACCTTATATACCCACCATGTTTGTGAAGTTTTTTTTGTTTGTGAACTCGGTTCACAGACAATATTTTGTTTGTGCAGAATATTATCTGTGAATTGATGTTCACAGACAAAAAAAACTTTCACAAACATGAGTGGGTACAAAAGTGGGTATAAGAGTGGATACAAACATCATTTTTCGTATATAATACGCAGTAACGGCATATGTGCATGGCATTTTTTCTCCACTAAAACATACTCCAATCCCTCCCTTCTTTATTAAGTGTCCCTTTAGGCTTTGACATAGATTTTTTGAGAAAATAATAGAGGTAGTGTAAAAGAGTGTAGTGATTTGTGTTTAAATAATAAAGTAGGAAAGAGAAAAGGGTAAGAGTAATAAAAATTGATGGTAAAAAGGTAATTTGATTGAAAAATTTTACCAAAAAAAGGTAGTACTCTCTCCGTTCCTAAATAAACTTCCAACTTTCCTTTTTCGTCCGTTCCAATTAAAACTTCCACTTTCCCTTTTTGGTAAAGAATTTGTGGTTCACAACATTTCTTACACATTTTTCTCTCCTCTGCACAACTCTCCACCACACAATATCCACTATCTTAAACTTTGTGCCAAACCCATATGGAAGTTAAAATGGGAACGGAGGTAGTATATGTTTGGAATAAAGAATTGAAATAGGAGACCGGCCTATTGTACTTCTCAAACTAAATAAAACTTGTTGAAATTGAACTGCCAGGCGAATGCAGTAAGCTTATTTAGTAACCCTTCTGAAATTACAACCAGAAAATATAATATAATTAATATAAGCAAGATAACTTAGATATAAGTCTTCGATAATTAACTATATAGTAAATTTGTCATAAGTTGACGGGAAATAATTATGCATGACTAATCAATTCAAAGCTAAAATCGACGGAGTATAACGTTTCAGATCAGCTGATTATTTCTTCATTCAAATTACCATTTTAACTTTTCATCCTAGCAATATATACTACATGATTGTCAAGGCTAATTGAAATTTAGCTCAAAATAATACGTAGTAATCTAAAGGGTTAATTTGAGTTTGCACTTCATTTTATTATCCAAATTAGACTTTGCACTCGGTTTTTAAATATCTTTGTATTTGCACCTTCAATCCCGTGTGAAAAAACAAAAATGCACATCAATAGTAATATGTTGAACGCCAATCGATTTGTTAATGGAGGGGTATTTTTGTTTTTTATATAGGGTTAAGGTGAAAACACAAAGTTTTTTAAAAACGGAATGAAAAGTCCAACATGAACAATAAATGTGGTGCAAAGATCAAATTGTGACCCCTAATCTACACATACATATATAAAGCCTAGTGAATTGGTATACATGCTTCCACTCCCAACTTTGATTGCATTAATTTATGTTTATTAAGCAATAATTATAATTTATAATCACCAATTTTAATGTAATTAATAACCCCAGACATTTACTAGGGCGTAAAATCATGCATGCAACCTGTCGTGTGCATATTGCTTTTGGCTGCGACGTAAATGGAGGTACACAAATAGTTACCGTATTGTTATGAGTTTTTGCCAATAAATGATGTATGTTTAGGTGAATCTCAAAACACTTTAATTACTTAGCTTTTAGAACCTGACTAATAAATAACCTAATTAACCAAACTACGAGGAAAAATTACAACAAAAATTCAACAATGGCGTCGGGTAAGATTCTATCAATGAGTTTTAATGAGAAGAGCCATTATGCAAATAACTCAAGTTTTCAGGTATCCCTCTCGAATCATATCTCATATCCTTTCTATCTTTAAACATAATTGCTTTTATGTTTTAACTAATGTACCAATATTAGCGAGTCCTATATCCTACATTCGGGTGTATGTAAATCCGGGCCAACTAAGGAAGACAACCCATTAATTAATACAGACCATTTTTTCGGTTGCATTATGTTTAAATGTTTAATGTCATTCGATAGTATATTTTATTCATTCACTTTTTTTTGAACCGAGATTATGCATTCACTTGTTTCTTTGATATCATTTAATGAATAAAGTAGTTATTTGATTAATAAGTTTAGTACTTTTCATTTCATTATTTTCCTATTATTTAAATATGTTTAATTTGCAGAAAGAGGTAATAGAGAAGGTAAAGCCCATGCTAGAAGAAACTATCAAAGAAATGGGCAACAATGGAGGTTTCCCGGAGTGCTTTAAAATGGCGGATTTGGGCTGCTCATCCGGCCCGAACACGCTATTCCCCATGATCAACGTGATCAACGCCGTGAACGAGAGTTGTCGGGAGAGAAACGCCGACGTGCCGGAATTCCAGGCCTTTCTCAATGATCTGCCGGATAACGACTTCAACGCCGTCTTCCGAACACTCCCTTCGTTTCGCAAAAATCTGGAAGAAGCAACGGGTTTGAATAGTAGAGATAAAAAGTACAAGCATTGTTGCATAGCAGCAGTGCCTGGTTCTTTCTATGATAGGCTCTTCCCTTCCAATTCTCTCCACTTAGTTCATTCCTCCTATAGTCTTCATTGGCTCTCGCAGGTATAGATCATGTAACTTAATTAAGAATTTCAAATTAAAACCGTCATATTTTTATTCCCGAAATATGAGTTACTACTGAGTAGTACGGAGTAACAGACTTAAAATATGACAATCTTTTTCAAACTTAATAGTAATTATTTCTATTTAAGAACAAAAACATGAGAATGTGATTTTGAAATTCAAAAAGGTTTATATTCCTATTTCAAGAATTTCCCCAATCACATAACAAATCTCATTGACCTAACCTTTATTTGTCAAATGGAGTATATATTAGATTAATTTTAAGCTTCTGTTCAAAACTTTTTATCTAATGAATTGTATTATATACGTTTTGATAAACATTTTTATGCTCATTGTATATACAGTGCCAATCCTACCTAAACTCAGACCTGAGTCGAGCTTCATAAATGGACCCTAAACATAGTGATTCTTTGTCATATAGAATCATTAAAATTCAATAATTAAATATCACAAAACCGTAATTCTTAAAATAAAGTCTGCATTATATAGTAAAATGACATTGGATGTATTAAAAAACTAATTAAGTACAACTCGTCGAACATTTTTAGATGCAAATGTATTAATCAAGTCTGCATAATCTATGCTACCAATGGTCTTCTTTTCAATTGATAACATAGCCAATCCATTCAACCTTTTTTGGGACATGGTTGAAGATGTACTCCCCGAATTGGAGTGGCACTTTTATTCAAAATCAAGTAGTACGTACTATTAATGTTTCGGCTTTACTTTGAGTTAATGATTCAGTACATGATTTTGTTTTCCTCTTTTGAAATTGAGACATAGATTTCAGAGGCAAAATATATATATATCAGTAATTTTCACTTTAAAACACAAAGCATTTAATTTAATTAACGTGAATTCAGAATTTCATAATTGCAATACTGATAACACTAAATAAAAAACAAACAAGAATCAACTAGTATTCAAAAATTTACAAATTAGTCTATTTGGCATTCACACATGACAAATTAATTATACATCACATTAGCATTTAGCACATCAATATAAAGTTAGAAAATTTCTGAAAATACAAAGGAATAACAAACTAAGCAAATAAAAAAACATAGACTGAAAGAATTAATTATAGAACTTGGAGCCTAGAAGACTAGAAATAGAAATCGATGTGCCCAAAAGGAAAAATAAAAAATAACTAGAAAATACATATATAAAATTTTGGACCCCTAATGTTACAAATTTTTGGGGCCAATAAGGTCCAAGCCTCTCCATCCTTACATAAGGCACGACTCTGTGTAAGAGATATAGTTTTGAATTTTTAATCGTTCCATGAAATAATTTTATGTTTCTTTACCAATTTAACCTCACGACAGGCTCCAGAAGGAATTGAGAAAATGAACAAGAGAGGGTTAGCTGTGGGACAGTCGAGTCCGCCAGAGGTGATTGAAGCATATGCTAAGCAGTACGAGAAGGATTTGACGGCGTTTCTCCGTTGTCGTGCCGATGAGTTAAAGCCCGGCGGCCGCATGGTCTTTGCTCTTCATGGCAGGGGTACAGAAGATCATATTCAAACCGCTTATTTTGTTGACCCGTTGACCGAGGCACTTCTGCAATTTGTTTCCGAGGTTAGATATATTGAGTATTCTACTCCCTAAACCATAAGGGTTTTGCTTGTTTTCGTATTTAGAGTTATCTGTGGATAGACAATTTGTCTACTGGGGACAGATGAGTGTACACAAAAGGTGTACACATTTTGTGTACACCTCACATTTTTTAAACCATAAATGTTTGCTAAATACCGATTAAAGCACATGGATTGGCTATATCTCTTGAATTAAAACTGTATGTAAATACGGAGTATACTTTCTTAATGAAGAAAATTGAAAGAGGAGTTATTTCAAAAAATACTTAAAATAATCTTTTAGTAACTCAACTCAATTCAGCTATAAAATTAACTTCGACCTTACTTGCTTTGATTTTACCCAATTCAAACTTGTGAAATCAAAATTTGGATACCTTATATTTTGCATAATTTTCTACTCTCCCAATCTTCTTGAGATCCAAGAAGAGCATTCATTTGGATACTCTGTTTTGCATAATTTTCTTTGTTTAACTGAGGGATAAAAGAAAGAGAAATATTGTTGTTCATATCGATCGACGGGCTCTGATACCAATTTGTTGAAAAAAATGGGAGAAAAGTATCGAGACTCTGATGAAGAATAATGTTTCATTCACTTGACACATTCATACAATGGAGGGATGAAATATTTATAGGATGAGAGATCTAACTCTTTATATTCTTCATATTTCTAGGTCATTAAATGAACCTAGAAACTTACAAGGAATATCAAAATACTTATCTTCCAACTTCCAAGTTTATTTTAATTGTCCAACATTAACATAATTAACCAAGAAAAGTCAAATTGACCAATCTTTTTGGAATGAAGGTGATATATTAATATTATTTATTTAATCATTATTTGTAATTATCTCTTTAATATTTACTTGTACTTATCTATAATTTTTTACTTGTATTCCTAGTAATAAATATGATAGCTAAACATGCTCCCTAACTTAATTAATATAAGGTAGATTCTATGGTACCTTTAAGATATTATACCTTTGTCCACATGGACCAATCAGAATGCTGCAGTTGAATTAAAAATGATGTAATGATTTGGACCAATCAAGAGAATGATAGGTACAGTACCCCAATTTTTAGGTGGGTACCAGAGTTGTCACCGTAATATAAATACAAGGCTATAGCTATCAAAATATATACTAGTACTAGTTAGATGGTTTAATTTCTTTTTCTATTTTAGTATAGTAGATTTTTCTTTAATGAATGAGATTCCAGTCACCGTTAATATTCAATAATTAATTTTGGGTGACACATTGAAATGAAGGGTGTTATCGAGGAGAAAAAGATGGAATCGCTCAATTTTCCTTCTTATGCACCATACAAGGATGAAATGAAGAACATAATAGAAAAGGAGGGGTCCTTCACACTTGACAGGCTTGAAGTCTTTGAAATGAATTGGAATGACTTGACCGGCGACACCGATGCCCCCACCGATCATGCGGCGGCGGCGGCGAAATTCATAACGAAAACCACCAGAGCTGTTACTGAGCCGATGGTGGCTTCTCATTTCGGAGAATCCGTCGTTGACCCGGTCTTCCTCAGATATGAAGAGATCGTTGGTCAACGTTTGGTCAACGAGGGCAAGGCTAAGCTCAAGCTGTCGAGTATTGCTCTTTGCTTGACCAAGAGGCAAGGCCGCACTTGAAATTATTACTCCATCGTCACGTTTATAAACTATTCAATTTTGATTTGAAATAACTTAAATTAAATGAAGTATATATATATGACTTTATTTATTGAATTATATAGACTACTTTGTTACGCAAACTCCACTAATTTGATGTTGCAAAGTTAACCTATATAACTTCATAAATAAGTCATGAATATATATCGCTTCATAAACTTTTTGGTATATAGTTTTCGGTTTTCTGCATGATATATACACACACATTGTAAATGAAATAGTGTCGAATACTTTTGTATGTAACATTAATATTTTTATATCCTATGGGTATATGCAAATAATTGATAAATGATAAATCTACAACTTTGTCATCAGTTTTACTAAACTTTCGTGGCTCTAGCTTAGTAATCTATGTGTCCAAAACTTTATAACTTTTATTTTGACAGAGATAATATTGATTCGATGCAATCTGAGTAATTATAGTGTTAATAAAATACATCAATGGCCAAATGATGGCTTATATAGTTAGATGCCCGAGATTGAAGCTTTAATTTGGAAGAAGTGGTTAAAGATAAATGCAATTAGAGGTATGAAAGTCATCCCTAAAAATTCTAGTTTATGCGTGAAACTCCATTTTGATTTGTAAATTTTTTGTATTAGGATATGATGTTTGATGAAACGGTTAGTAACACGAGAGGCGGGGAGAGGGAGTGAATTGTGTGTGTGGAACCGTGATAGTTTTTCGTCAAATTCTAGCGTGGGATATAGGGTGAAACAAAGTAAATAAGTGCACAAGGATTTTACGAGGAAAAATCCTTTGGATCAAAAGGGATTAAAAAACATCGATCCCACTCGGAGGAATTTTAACAACTTCACTAAAAAGCCTTTGAATGGTTACAAGAGAAACTCTCCTAGTCTAGGAAGAGTTATGATTTTTTGCTTTACGAATAGAGAATCTCTCAGCTTTACAATAAAACTCTAACCACACATACCAACCCGAGGGTGCTATGCTTAGCCAATCCTCCAAAACCCCATTACAAAGAGACGAAGGGAAAGTTAGAACTATATCTAAAACTCTGTGAGCAGTTTCAAGTGTCTTGAAGTCTTTGTTGGGTGTGTTTCGGAAAATAAAGAAAATTAATTAAAATAAATTAATTAAATAAAATGACTAGAGAAAAACAAGAAAGGAGATGAAGCAGAATTAGCCAAAGCTCATGCTACGCACGATTTCCTTAAAACGTATTTGTTGTCTCCCACGGTGCTAGGAGCGTTGCAACAATCGTTTCCCAGGATACGATGACTACGAACTAATGTTTGAGCACACAAACAAGAGTTCCAGCGAACGAGAACGAAGTATGAACACAGAAGGAATTTTGGGAGTAGCTGGAAGAGTTTTTAGCTCAAGAAAACGTGAGGAAAGTGTTGTGCGTTGTCAAACCGTGTGTTTGTTGCAACGCACCTGCCAGCTATTTATAGGAGGATTTGTTGTGTGTTAAATGGGGTGTTAATGGACCTGAACGTTGGACATCAATGACCAGTCCGTTGGGCATTGAATCGTCCATAAACTGTCCATTTAACGCAGCATTAAAAGAGAAGAACGTTGGGCATTAATTGTTGTAACGGAAGAAGTGCGCGACAGAAGACCCCAACAGAACACCCCTTGGAGGGTTTCTGTCCGAAGCCAGCAGAACCCCCTTGGAGGGTTTCTGTCCGAAGCCAACAGAACCCCCTTGGAGGGTTTCTGTCCGAGACCTTCTGTCCAGAGCACTTCTGGGAAAAAATAAACGTTTCGGGAAGAAAACAAAAATTAACCGTATCTCTTGAGAGATAGATTTTTGGACGGCATTCGTGTCCGCAGGTCGCCCGCGCACACGAGTCGCGGTTTTTCTTCTCCGTTTCGGGATTTGATCGGCACCCCCCCTGTGCGTAAGAGAGAGCCTTTCCTTTTAGGAATCTTAACTCCTTAAAAGAGGCTTCCCTTTATAAGGGGGTGAAAATCCCTTGAATTTTTCGGTGTGGGATTAAACACACTAGAAACTCATCATTTTCCTAGTTTTTCCATTTCAACGAGTGAACTTCGAGAATCAATTTCTCATTCACCCGTTATCCGTTTTGAGCGTACCACATATCGAATTGTAGCCCTTAACAAGGACAATCCGAAACCACTTTGACCCGACCCAAATCGGAAGTGGACCCCACTCAAATAATTGCCCCAAAATGACCATTTAATGCAATTTTTAACACATTTTTCCAACAATCCCCCACATGAATGAAAATTGATTTTCGAGACTTAAAAGACACGAAGATAGGAGGATACGTTGTGTTCACCGGATGATCCTTGCATACGGAGAGGTAGGTTTTATCCTTTGAACCTTCCGTTGTAAAGACACGTTTATTTACTGGCTGTCTAGTAGACTCGATGTCCTTGAACTATACTGCCGTCGTGTAAACATTGACTTATCTTTACACAAGAACCTTCCAACTTTGTTCCGTTCTCATGGGTGTGCCCGTTTTGGCCATGGGTCACCGTCCTGGTTCTGCAAGAGTTTCTAAAGAACCGAGCCTTTACAGTTCTCCTTTGAAGCGGCCCTCTTCTCTCTCACATAGGTGATTCTTTCACGAGTTTCCCGCATACTCTTACAATGTTATCGAGTAGATCGACATTTTAGAATCATTAAAGCAAACGTTTTTGCTAACCTCGTGCGGGAGTCACTATTTTAACGAGGAGTGGGTAGGAGTCCGGGACCCCCACAGTGACCATCCTTCGCTCTATAATTTAGTTGTCCCTTTTGAACCTAGGACCAACTAGGTTGGGTATCCACTATAGAACTTTTCAATTCACGGGCTTTAGTCCCATTCCTCCTGACAACTTCTCCAACAATTCTCTATCCAATGTCTTGGTTAGCGGATCCGCTATGTTATCCTTTGACTTCATGTAGTCAACAGTGATAACACCCGTTGTGAGGAGTTGTTTAATGGTGTTATGTCTACGACGAACGTGTCTAGACTTACCATTGTAGAGATTGCTCTGTGCCCTTCCAATTGCCGCTTGACAATCACAATGTATGCATATTGGAGGGACAGGCTTCTCCCAACTTGGAATATCCTCGAGAAAATGGCGTAGCCATTCAGCCTCTTCAATGCACTTATCCATGACACGGCTGCACCTCCCAAAGTGAAAATATATCCACTTGTGGACTTAGAGTCCTTTATGTCGGATATCCAACTAGCGTCGCTATACCCTTCAAGTACAGCTGGATATCTTCCATAGTGCAGTCCAAGGTTTTGGGTTTTACGTAAATACCTCAAAACCCGTATTATTGCCTTCCAGTGTTCATCACCGGGGTTGCTAGTATATCTACTTAGCTTAGTAACCACAAAGGCAATATCAGGCCTGGTACAACTCATTAGATACATCAAACTTCCAATAGTCCTAGCGTATTCTACTTGAGAAATACACTCTCCACGATTTTTGGTAAGATGAGTGTTTTTATCTAATGGCGTCCTTGCCTCTTGATAATCATCCTTATTAAATTTAGTAAGGATTTTATCAACGTAATGGGATTGGCTTAGCGTTAGACCGTCAGGTCCTCTAATTATTTTAATCCCAAGGATTAAATCGGCTAGCCCCATATCCTTCATGTCAAATTTAGAATTTAACATGCTTTTGGTAGAATTAATCATTAGATTATTGCTACCCACGATGAGTATATCATCCACGTATAAACATAAAGTGACATAGCCGTCTACCGTGCTTTTCACATAGACGCATTTGTCACTTTCGTTTATCTTAAACCCATTAATTAACATTGCATGATCGAACTTTTCGTGCCACTGTTTAGGGGCTTGTTTCAATCCATACAATGATTTAATTAATTTACAAACCTTCTTTTCTTGGCTTGGAACACGAAAACCCTCGGGTTGTTCCATATAGATTTCTTCGTCTATATCGCCATTTAGAAAAGCGGTTTTTACGTCCATTTGATGAACTTCCAAATTCCGCAAAGCGGCAATCGCTAGTATCATCCTAATGGAATTTATTCTCGTCACGGGAGAATACGTGTCAAAGTAATCATGGCCCTCGCGTTGCTTGTATCCCTTGATTACAAGTCTGGCCTTATACTTATCAATGGAACCGTCTGGTTTCATTTTACGTTTAAAAATCCACTTGGATCCCAAAGGTTTACATCCCGGAGGGAGATCAACCAATTCCCACGTGTGATTTTTTAGGATAGAGTCCACCTCACTTTTGATGGCTTCTTTCCACGTAGGACCTTCAGTAGACGTCACGGCTTCCGTATAAGTCCGTGGCTCATTTTCTACCAAACATGTTAGAAAATCCGGTTCATTTTCTACCATACATGTTAGAATATCCGATTCAAATTCTACCAGGTAGGTGAGAAAATCCGGTCCGAAAGATTTTTCGACTCTAGCACGTTTGCTACGTCTGGGTTCGGGTTCTTCTCCGGATCCCTCGCTAGTATTTTCCATAGCTACGTCAAATGTTCGTTTTGACGTGCTAGGCCCTTCGTTGGACTTGCATGGAAATACATCTTCAAAGAATGAAGCATTCCTTGATTCAATTATTGTGTTTTTATGTACATCCGGATTATTCGAATCGTACACTAAATACCGATAAGCACTACTATTTTGTGCATATCCAATAAAAATACAGTCCACCGTTTTTGGACCTATTTTTATTTTCTTAGGTGTTGGTACAAGCACCTTAGCAAGACACCCCCACACTTTTAAATATTGATAGGAAGGCCGTCTGCCTTTCCACAACTCGTACGGAGTTTTATCATATTTTTTCCGGGGAACCTTATTTAAAAGGTAATTGCTTGTCAAGATTGCTTCGCCCCACATATTTTGTGGCAAGCCCGAACTTACTAGCATCGCATTCATCATATCTTTCAATGTGCGATTCTTTCGTTCGGCAACACCGTTTGATTGAGGTGAATAAGGTGCGGTACATTCGTGTACTATACCCACACTAGCGCAAAAGTCACCAATTGGTGCTTCATACTCACCACCTCGATCACTCCTAACCGTCTTAATCCGTCGATTAAGTTGGTTTTCCACTTCATTCTTATAAAGAATGAATTTATCGATTGCTTCGTGTTTATTTTTTAATAAATAAACGTAGCAATAGCGAGTGCTATCATCGATAAAGGTAATAAAATATTTATTACCGCCACGTGTTTGTATTGCTTTAAAATCACAAACGTCACTATGAATTAATTCAAGTGGTTCCATTTTTCTTTCAACTGATTTGAAAGACGTTTTCGCTAGTTTTGCCTCTACACAAACTCCACATTTGTGCTTCACATCAATTGTGAATTTAGGAATGTGCTCCATGTTAATTAATCTACGTATAGAATTAAAATTAACATGT